GTACTAGCCCAGATGATAGGTGAGGGTGATTGTAGAGCAATTGGTGGAATGGAGATTGACAGAGGAAACCGAAGTACTCGGAGAAAATCTGCCCCAGCGCCATTTTGTCCACCAAAAATCTCACTTGACCAGACCCGGGATCGACCCTTGGCTGCCACGATGAGAAGCCAGTAACTAACCGCTTGAGCTATGGCATGGCCTGGTCATAGTCATAATACTGTATGGAGGTAACTAATAAATCCTTCAGGACTGACTATTTAAACACTTAAAAACACGAATAAAGAACCAAAATTACTTTCAAGAACAAATTAAAAGCAAATTTAGTGAAGGAAATTCTTTCCAGCTTTCAAATTCAAAATCTTTCATTGTCCCATCTCACATCTAATACATAAAGCTTAAAATATACAAGGTTATTATTTTCTTTGTTTTACATAGTCCCACCCTGAGGGAATGAAGGCGTTTGAGAAGAGAGTCCAAAGGAGAGTATTTGGTTCTAAAAATGAGGTAACAACAGGAGTACTGAAGAACGAATATAATGATGAGCTTCATAATTTACATTTTTCACCAGATAGGGTGAATATTATCAATGAGGATAAGGCAGACAAAGTATGGAGGATGTAAAGGAGAGATTAGAATTTGTAGAAAATTTTAGTCTGAAAAGCTGGAGGGAAGGGCCATTCGCATGTTGTGAAGATGCTGAGTGGATTAAACTGATTCCAGGTTTGCATCCGGTGATAGCATTTTTTGAGCATGGTAATGAACCTCTGGGTTTCATAAAATGCAGGAAATTTCTCGATCAGTTAAGTGAATATCAGTGTCTAAAAGCGGACACTGCTTCCTGGGGTAAGATGGTTTTGCCACGAGGATGTGGGGGAGAGGGAAACAGATTTTATTTTATAATAGCACTTAACTTTGACATTTGTATTACCGCCAAATTACACCTTTCTGACACTCATAGATGGCAGGGAACATTTGCGCTTCGAATAAATGGATTTTAAGTAATTTTCTGTGTCGAGTATTCGAGAGATCTGATTCAGATATATCGAATTTAGCCTTGTAGGTCTTGGCCAATTTATTAGCAAGATGAACGAAGTGTTGTTTGACGTTGTTTGATGTGTCGTTGAAGGTTAGGATCGTTAGGATTATAGTCCATTCGTGAAAGTATTAGGGGGAGTTATTAATAATTGAGAACTTCATTGATCATATCTGGTAAATTATACGAATTATGTGGGATTTATGTCGTATAAATCATATTTTAGTTTACATAACCTGAAGTTTGTCATGATGAGAGATAGCCATTTTATACAAGGAATTATAAGTAAAGTAGTACTGTGTTAAATAGATCAATCGGCATAGCGACTAGGCTGACGGATGAACTCTTCAGGATTTGGGGCTCGATTCCCGTCAAGGGAAAGAGACTTTCTCTTCTCTACAGGGTCTAGACCGGCTATGGGGCCCACCCAGCCTCCTACACAATAGCTACCAGGGATTGTTTCCCCGGGAATAAAGTGGCAGGAGCGTCAAGCTGACCGCGCACTTCCATCTAGTATTGAGGTTTGAAAGGTGGAACTACGAGTATACCTCTGCTTCCCCACACATCTACATGATAGGCTTAATTAATTAAGCGTGGGGACAACTTTACTTTTATTTTATTCCGAAGAATGCCATCATCTGGGTTGTGATATACGAATATAGTCTAGTAGAAATATACCACTGTTTTGGAGGAATATTTAATTCCTTTATTGTTTGCTTTTTGTTTACTCTGTGACCATGAAGATGGAAGCAGTACATTTCTCTGAAACCTTGGTAAACATCTACCAGACTACAAGGTGCCACATCTCAGAAGGTACCATCCTTCATAGTCACCGCTGTTAAAAACTCAAATCACATGAAGTTAACCATTTAACAGATATAAAAGGAAACTGGCAAAATGGACAGAGGAAAGGCATCACAGGGGCGTGGTGCCAAAACCAAAACCCAACAGTATCCAGCTGATCTCTTTGCCCTGGGTTCCAAGTCTTCCAGAATGGAAGGTGGTGAAGCAAAGCGCACTGGAGTGGTGCATGGTAAACCAGGGGGCTCTCACTCATTCTCAAGTAGGGGTTTTACTATTAAAAGATCTGTTAATATATGTATGTGTTTCACCTAGTAAGTGTTATCCATGTAGCTTTGCTGTGATTTCTTTTGTCATTGCAGTTGATAGTTCAAATTATTAAAATGTAATAGCCCAACAAATCATCTGTTGTAGTTTTGACTTCTTTCAGATATTTATTTGATCACCTTATTGCAAAGTGTGCATGGTTCTGTATGGTCAGAATTTTAGTAAATTGTTTATGTTTCTGACTATTAATTTTGATATACCAGTTTCCTTGCATTTTATATAAGAGAATTCGTTCTCATATTTTATGTCCTAGTGCAACTTCCAGTCTAACTTTCATTGAATTTTCTTTTGTTAGCATGCTATATTTCATTTTAGATTTCTTGCTTAATTATGACGATACAATTTTCAGTTTACCAACCAAGTCATTAATAGTTTATTATTATTATTATTATTATTATTATTATTATTATTATTATTATTATTATTTCTTCCATATTCCATTACATCTATAGTTGGCTAAGGCCTTAGATACAGAATTGTATCAATTTATCTTGCTACTACTATCAAGCAATTGTCAAAAAGACTTATAATATATGACAATGTTTGTTTACATCATAATACAATTACTCTCTAGCACAATACACTCAAAATTATCATTTAAAATAAAAATTTAAGATAAAAATTTCCATCAGAAGTAACAGAATATTTTGGTCATATAGCTTTAACATGTACAACAAGTGCAACATATAAAAACATTCAATTATAAGTATGGTTATCGTACATTCACGATGATTATCCATTTACTGTACTACTCAACATCCTATATATTTATATAGTTTTATAATCATTATCTCTTAAAATATTCATCCAGTGTATAAAAAGAATTGAAATAAAGAAATTACTTTAAATTATTTTTAAACTTATTTATATCATTAGAAGTTACTTTAATTTTATTAGGTAGTACATTGTAAATCCTTATGGCCATGTGAATTACCCCATTACCACATTTCGCCAAATTTACGTGGCTCATATGTATATCCATATTATGTCTGGTATTTATTTTGTAGCGATCCCTATTTGTATCAAATATTTCTCTATTTTTTATTACAAACATCAGCGGAGAGTATACACGTATATACTGTGATCATAAAGGAAATGTATTCATATTCCTAATCTGTTCTCTGCATGACTCCCTGTAGCCACATCCTCTTATTATTCTTATAAGTCTCTTTTGTATCTTAAAAACTCTTTCTGATGAGTTGAGTTACCCCAGAACATTACTCCATATGTCATAACAGAATGGAAGTATGAATAATAAATACTTTTTAATGTTTTTACAGACACCACTGGTTTTACATTTCTTATCATATAACAAGCTGTATTTAATTTCTTTATTATCTCCTCTGTATGTCTGTCCCAAGTTATATCATTTTGGATAGTCAGGCCAAGAAATGTTATGTGATTCGTATTTAATAAAACCGTTCCTATGCCTCCCATTTCTCTATATACATTATTTTTTACAGTGAAGTTTATATAATATGTTCTCATTATATTAAGTGACATTAAATTTTTTTTAAACCAGTCCTCCAGTATCCTATGTACTTCATTTATTGTATTTTTAAGTTTTATTGGATTGTCTTGAGAGATTAAAACCTGGCATCGTCAGTAAATAGAATGGGAATACTGTTAGTGTCTAAAATCATGGGTAGGTTATTTATATTTATTATAAACAGAAGTGGTTCCAGTATGGACCCTTGCCAGACACCATTAGTTACTTTAACCCATCGAGAGTTTACTTTACTACTGTTTGTCCCATTGGAGATAGCAATTCTCTGTTTTCTATTCAATAGATTATTATTATTATTATTTATTTATTTATTTATTTATTTCATGCATAGCTATAGAGAATTATAATTGGACATGTCAAACATCAACAACATCACATCAAAATAACATAAGTAAAAAAAAAATAACGTAACATTCACACAGTGATTCATGACTATAATGCAGCAATACATTTGAACTTAATTTAAGAATAACAGATACTCCAAAAAAAGACATAAGAATAAATATTTTAAACATATAGACAGATTTATTAACAAGCAGTTTACATCAAAAATTAATAATAATAAATACTTCAAAAAAGGCATAAAAATATACAGACAGATTTATCAACAAACAGTCCATGTCAACAATTATTAAAAAATTCTTGAAGAGAATAGAAGACATTACACAACAAATAATTCTTAAGTTTCTTCTTAAAAACATTAAAATTTTTAACATTCTTTAATTCAAATGGAAGGACATTAAATATTTTGGTTCCCATACCAATCACCCCTCCCTTGCTACGCTCAGTATCACAAAATTGTACAAACAAATTGTGTTTATGAATAGTGTTATAGCCATGAACATCAGAATTCTGGGTGGTATAAATCTTATTTTTTTATCATAAAACATAGGATCTCAAAAATATATAAAGAAGTAACAGTTAGAATCTTTAATTCATGAAAGAAATTTCTACAGGAAACTCTATTTTTAACACCTTTTATCACCCTACACATTTTTTCTGCAGTTTAAATAGAGTTTCAGAGTCCTTTTGCACCCCACCCCAAAAAATAATACTGTATTTCAACACGGACTCAAATTTTGCAAGATACACACTTCTTAAAACAGTTTGGCTCACTGAGTCCCATAGGGATTTTATCAAATAGGTAGTCTCACTAAGTTTATGGCACACATTGGGTGTGGGTTGCCCAACTTAAATCTTCAGTAATGCAAATACCCAAAAATTTTACATCCACTGAATAACCCACCTCCTTATTATTTAAATAAAAAAGGGGTCTGGTAATTTGAATAGATCTACTTCCCCAAAAAAATAATACCTTTGACTTATCCATGTTTATTATTAAACGATTTTCATAAAACCATTTTTCTAATTGAGTCTTTACATTTTTAATTTTTTCATTTAAGGATAAAATATTTTTCCAGTAATCAATATATTTGTATCATCAGCAACTAGTACTACCTCTGCATTATGTATAACTTGGGGCAGATCGTTTATAAATGATATGACTTATACTGGTCGTGTTGTTTATCTTTTGTTCCATAATACCTCAATTTATTTAATAATATATCGTGGCTAACACAATCAAAACCCTTTTCTAAATCACAGAAAATCCCACAGACTTGTATTTTTTTATTTAATGAGTCTAGTATTCCAGAGATAAGTCTATAAATTGCATTTTCAGTCCCTTGATTTTCTCTAAATCCAAACTGGTATTTGCTTAATATACTAGTATCATTCAAATGTTCATTACCTTCTCAAATATCTTACTAATAGATGTCAATATGGATATAGGTTTGTAATTTGATTCTAAGTTTTTGTCACCTTTTTTGTATATTGGTACAATTGTAGCATATTTTAATCTGTCTGGGAATATACCCTCATGCATAGCTCTGTTACATAAGTAACTTATAGGTTCACTAATAAAGATTTTACAGGATTTGAGTATATTTGAAATTTCATCATATCCATGTGTTTGACTAGATTTTAGGGACCATATAATCCTTTCTATTTCCCTACTCGTAGTTTTTATGCTAGGTAGTGGACTCTCAAATGCATCAGTCAAGTATGGCATATAATTATGAAACAGTGACACCACAAACTGTTTCACATATCAGTCAAACAAAAAGTATATTTTGTTCATATTCTTACTCACAAGTTAATCGTACAAGTGGGAAATCTGGGTGTAGCAATGAATGAAAGAACTCTCCAATTGTGCAGTTTCTATTGTAAAAAGTAACAAAAAATGAGTGAGATCAGTCAAAGATTCTCATTTGAATGTTCAGATGGTAAGCAGTGTCATATGATTAATGCAGAAAGTTATGCATGTATATATGGAGTACAGTGTTACAGAATAGGTTCAGACATACTCGCAAGGAACCCATTTTGAATTTTTAATCTGAGCAATGACCTTATGCGATAATGGGGAAGCAGGTATTCATACAATGTAATTCTGAAAAAATGGAAACTTGACAGAGTGTATAAGAAATTCAGTGCAGTCTTTAATGAAGTATGGAATAATTTTCTGGGGTAATTCATCTGACAGTAAAAAGGTATTTACATTGCAAAAGAAAATTGTTAGACTCATGATGGTTGTCAGATCCCATAATTCTTGTAGAGATCTATTTCAGAGACTACAGATCTTAACTTTGCCTTGTGAATATATATATTCATTAATAAATTTTATTACAGATATCGAAGAACATTTTCAGACAAATACGGATATACACAGTGTTAACATAAGACACAAATATTGCCTTCATAAACCAATTGCTAACCTATCATGCTTTCAGAAAAGCTCATATTATGCTGGGATCAAAATTTCTAATAACCTGCCATCTGATCTCAAAGGTCTTATGAATGAAAATGCACGATTTAAAATAGCACTGAAACGATACTTAAGTACACATTCATTCTACTCTGTTGATGAATACCTATTGTCTAGAAAATAACTTATGTATCTTTGAATAGCCTTGTGTGTAGTCGCTGTGTATTCTTGGTTTCTCTTGTGTGAGAACTCCATTGGGTCTGTACATATATTTTGTATTTATATGACATATTCCACATTCTACAGTCATTTTGACTAACTTTGGATCCATGGAATGCAATGCAATGCAATGTAATGTAATCTTAAATATATTGCTATTTGCAGTTTTCTCATATGTACATTTTGTCTGTAAAATTGATTTTATAGTTTAATAATCTGTATTGAGGAAGCTTATTCACCCCATGCTAAAATCATGTAACCTAACCTGGCAAACTTAGATTATGAGTCTAAAACTGCTATGACTGCAATCTGGTACATTTGAACACTCAAAGTCCTGAACCATTGTTCAGCTTGTAAATCCCATGATATTGTAGGGCTAGTGGTCAGATTTAATCTAGGAGGTAACAGTACTGAAAATATACCATGTTTGGCCATCTAAACTGCACGCATTTGCAGAACACAGACAATGAAGGGTGATAAATATGGAACCAAGGTTTTATGTATGCAGGTACAGACAGAAAGAGAGAAACTGTTGGTGGACCTATACCACCTATTCCTCCAAAGAAGACAAAAGTGGGTGCACCATCAATATTGGGCCGAGTTGGTGGTAGTGGTAGCAGCGGTGGTGCAGAAGCATGGGAGATGGTGGCAGTGGAATGTGAGCCAGCGGAGCTTGTACCAGCAGTGCTTGAAGCTTGCAACTTGGATGAAGGAGATAAGGAGGCAAGTATTCGTACAGTTTGGAGAAGGTTTGAGTAGTTTAATGAAGCCATTTATTTTATTTGTCTTGTTCAACAACCTGAAGAGGCATGTATGTAACATATGTTGAGAAAATTACGTGTTCCATATGACTTCTCATCATCAGTATAATTTTTATTCCCGTGTTGGTCCTATCAGAGCAACATATTTCATAACAGTTTCAGTTGTTAGACAACTGCAGTTGATGTTACTAATTAACTGGCATAGGTGTACAGTTCATAATTATCATTTTGTTTATGGGACTGTAGTACTCGTAGAACCTCCATGTAATGGAATTTAGGGGACTATTCCACTTTTCACCAAAATATATACTCATCTGCATGTTGACTCCATTGTGGCCTCTTGGACTCCTACAAGCTCTAACTTACACTCTTACCATTGATTTCACCGAACCTATGTGTAGAGATTCCTGACAGTTTGAATTTTAAATATTATGTTATTTTTCTCTACCTCCTCTCTGGTCTAATGGTCAGAGTTCCTGGCTACAGATCCAGAGATCCAGGTTTGATTCCTGGCGCTACCAGATTTTCTGAGAAGTAGTGGGTCTGGAACAGGGTCCACTCAGCCTTGGAACGATAATTGAGGAGCTATTTCAAGGAAATAGCGGCTCTGGTCTAGAAAACCGACATTAACAGCCATGGGGATTTNGGGGTGGGATTTAAATACCCTTCGCGCCAGTCAAAGAGTTAACAGCCATGGGGATTCATTGTGCTGACCACATGACACCCTCTATCCGCAAAAGTTGGCACTAACTTCGCCGACAAGCGGCTGTCACTTGGTCAGCATAGATCGCTTGTGAACTACAGATCACGGAGTTAGTAGTTTTGTGTCATTTTTCTGTTACTTGATTTATTCCAAAAAAGTTTGTCTAAGTCTTAGGTTCTACTTAATTGTTAACTTAACTTCATTTGATATATTTAATTTCAGATTGGTCTTTTGTGTGGTGCAATTAGAACTCTGCGAAGTCAACGGTGGAAACCAGATTCACTTTTATATCTTGGCTTGCTGTATCTTGGGAAATTGCGACCATCGTTATTTGCTGGGGACTGTGTTATGCATGCTTTATGTAGTTTACTACGACGAGATACATCACATAACTTCAAAAGCAAAGGAAATCCTCTGGTTCCTGTCCTAGCAGCAAACCTACTTCTTCGAGGATTTCAAGACAAGAAAATTTGGCCTGATGTTTTCATAAAGGTATAGTTGAAGTTAATGTATGTAAGCATTTGTGTTAGCAGTTACAGGTAACATTATGTTCTGCCAATGAAAGCTTTATACTGAACATTTAAGTCCACATCTTGTAAGAAGATGTAAGTTTTCTTTTGTGCCTTATTTATTATTATACCCTGATAGCATATGAAATAAGACCAGGCATGAATAAGTTAACAGAGATTGGTTTTTAACATGGCAAGCACTGACAGTGTGTCAGTGTGCCTTACCAAAATTGCTGTCATATGCCTGCTATTACAATACTGCATTCTGATGTGAAATAGGTTTTGTTAGTGCTTTCAGTTATTGTCACCAATGGATACTGTTTTCTGCATGGATATATCCCTTCTACATACTTTTAATAATTTCAGCATTTTCAATCTAGATGGCATGCACAAGAAAAAATACTGATTTGAGGTTCTTACGGCAGTGAATATTAAAAGTACAGTCTTATGTTTAATAAAAGTTATTGTTATTGTTATATTGTTTACATTAAATTAAACATCCCAGATAGCTATGTAGGGCTGAAACATGTTAGACATTATGATTATGAATTAAAAACTGGTTGTACTAGATGTTACCTTAATGCACTATATGTTACTTTTGTGTTTTGTAGTCTTTTGGTTTGTGACATCATATAGCCTGATAGATAACTATCTTCCAGACTATACAGAGTCAAATTCCTGAAGACTGTAAAGTAGTGGGGTAGAAACAACTTATTATAAGATTATTTTCTTTGAGGATATGATGTCATGTAGTCTAGTAGAACATTGTTAACATTTTGGGGAAACCTGCTGCCCTTTCAGAATAATTGTACCCAGCCCTACTACATGGAATCACATTCCAGAAGTTGTTAATTTTTGTAGTTGTCACCATGAGAACCTCACATATTGCTTAACAACTCACTCACATGTACCAGTGTGACAAGAATTGCATGCTGTCATTTTAATTTGGACATAGTTGTTTTGATTATTACAGTAAATGCATTGTTAGTAGTGACAATAGTAACACTGAGAATGTTGAATATCAAATTCCATCTGTGTGATACCCAGCTGTTAAAACTAGTGCCAAGAAAAGGTAGCATATGTTGCAGGAATAGCAGTGACACACTGATGGTATAGAGTAGTTAGTTAGTTAGTTAGTTAGTTAGTTATTAGAGAGGGTGGGTTTCCCCATGCACTTAGACCTATAGTGGTCCATTGTGCTTCCCTCTATGATTTCTACCAGTCTCTATATCCTACCGGTATTGGTGCTTACCATCAGTCCCGCCCAGCGAGCGAGACCGGCTCTACTGGCTGAGAAGTATCTATAATGCTTCCCCTATCTACCGGAGGTATTAGTGACTGCTGTTGGGCGGCAAATGTCCGCAATTTTGCTCAGTGACCTCCTTTGGAGGTATGAGGTTCTTTTACATGCCGTAAAGCTACGACACGGAACCCACGGCTTAAAGTCCCTCCCAGAGGACTTGTTCCCTGAATCTTTCCGCCCTTAAAAATTCGACGACCTCCGCCGGGTATTTGAACCCGCGTACTACGAGTCATGAGGTGGGAACGTTACCTCTAGACTACGGAGGCCGCTGTGGTATAGAGTAAGTAACATAACTATAAGTAGCACTAAATATTCTGTAATTAGTTTTCTATATTCAGATGTTTGAGCCATTCAGATTTGAAAGTTAACATAGGAATCACGATTTTCTTTCTTATTTTTTTTTTTCTTTTTCTGTATTAAAACGAATTGGAACAACAGTGGGTTGGGTAACTTTGTATCTAGTTTTCACTGTGCCAAGTTTGTTTGTTATTTTTTCCTTTAGATTAGTTTATTTAAAGGCTTACCCTCAGCCCATTCTTTGTTCATGTTAACCATAGAAAATGATATTGAATCCTGCTTAACCGTTATTGTACACATTTTTAAATGCTTGTAGGCAGGTCTGGCAATGTAATTTTAATTTAAATTTTCATCTCAGTACGGTATATTCTTAGTTATGAAGTAGGATTTGAATTAAAGGCAAATTCTTAAGCTTAAAAGGAAAGAAGTAGGAACATTTTTATTTTATACAGTATTTATGTAACAGTATATTTACATCATATGATGTGCACCATTTATTTTAGGAACATTTCAATTTAACATGTAAATTCCAAATATCTGCATAATGGCATTTCAGTGTGTTCTGTGTGAGTAAGAGGAATCCTTATTTATGTGATTGTACTATGGCTTCACTTTGAGCAGAAGAGGTACTAAAACTGAAAACTGAATGCCTGTCTTGTACACATACTTTCAGTTATATGTAGAAGATTCACTTGGAGATCGAGTATGGGTTGATCATGAAGACTGTGCAGGCTTTGTGAACAATATTTTGACTGCTATCAACAGTCGTATTCCTCCACGATCATTGCTGCAGCCTGATTTGGTAGGACTGCCTGGCTCAAGAGGAGAATCATGCCCCTCTCCATCTACTGTGGGAATGGATGAAGAGGGAGGTGAAGGGTCTGCAGGAAGTGGCGATGCAGGGCTGTCTGCTGATCTCAAGGAAAAGATGGATATTCCTGTTCTACCAAGGCAAAGAATAGTTTATCAGTATTTTTCAAAGTATTTATATGCATAAATATTTTTATATTGGGAAGGATTCTCAGGTAATGTGAATCTCTCAGAGTAAATTGTCATTTCTGATTGTAATGCCTTCATCTGCGTATTTGCTGTAAGATATTACAGACTCAGTAGGACAAACTGTGATTTATTCACCAAGGACTTTCATCTTCGGAAAAATAGCAAAATGCAATTAATGTATCTGACCAGGCTGTCGTTCAGGCATCCATATTCTAGCAGTCTAAACAATAATATTCTTCCTTGAGCAAATTTAAAACTGATTCAGTAATTCATTATCATCTCACTTCCTGTAATCAAATATAATATAACTGAAAGCATCAAACTCAGTGCAGAAGGTGTAACATTGAAAAGGAGAATGATGTATAATAACTTCTTGGATTATTGTATTATCTTCATTATCTTTAAACTACCTGTTAGTGAGACTCACCAAAAAAGGAGACAGAATAATTTTGTGGAAAGTACATCTTGAAACAAAATCTGCTTTACTTCCCCATTTGATGATTGTTGAGTATAAAAAGTTAGTGATACTCAACATTTCTAGATGTAGCACACTGAAAGCCCCTGTTTTATTAGACATTCATGGATATATGCATAGGGAACTCAGTCTCTATTTTAAAATTTAAGTTTTTGTTGAACTATATTGTTGTAATAACAAATTAACTACTGTGTGTTCACATAGGGAATTGAATGAAATCGAAAAGTTCTTAAGTTTGAAATTCTCACTAATTTAGCATTCAGAGATATAGTGCTGTGTAGCTCGTTGAAACTCAAGAATCATTTTAAAGGAACATGTCAGTTGAATTTCATTGGACTGCACAGTGTTACATCCCCAGAGACAGAATTCTTCATCACCACTGCTGTGGCAACCTCAAATCCTACAGTTCTTATAGTTTTCTTAGCTATGTGATTACCATTTCTTGTCTGTTAAGCGGACCTTACACAGTCAGTAATAATGCCATTACCTGATTGGAATGACATTAATAATGATCGTGTAAGGTTGAGGGAACTGGAATGATGGTCAGTAATGATGCGAATCCGGATTTTCTGATTTCGAGGCATCATTACTGGTGCATGGTGGGGATACTGTCATTAGTAATGACCGTGTAGAGTGTGCGCATCAATACTCCTTCATTACTCAGTTCGCTTTGTGCAGTCAGAGTGGCAATAAGTAGACATGGACAGCGAAAGGGAGTTCTCCGTCACTGAATCCCCTACAAGTGAGGTGACTGCAGAAGAGGGCGAAGTTCTTCGGAACTTCATAGAGACGTATGAAGCCCTACCAGAACTGGAACCCCACTAACCCAGTGTATTTGAATAAAACAAAAAGAAATATAGCCTTGGACAAACTGTTGAATATATACATTAAAATAAAACCAGGGGCTAGTTGCGCTGATGTGAGATGAAAAATCAACACGCTTCACTGTAACTACAGGAAGGAATTAAAGAAAGTTCTGACATCGAAGAGATTGGGAAGCGGTACGGATGAATTGTATCAGCCTACTTCCTGGGTATTTTACGCCCTCCATTTTCTCGACAAATTTGAGCAACCAGTCAACGCCATTCTCAGCAACTTATCAAATGTTCCTTCACTCATACGAAAATAGTTTCTGTAATCCTCTGATTCCGTTGCACCAATTTCTTTTAGCAGAACAACATGGGAATACTTTTCACGTTTTTGTAACCAGTTTTTCATTCAGCGTCGGCGCTTAACATTTCGTTTTGTGCCTAATGCTAAAATTATAGCAATACACACTTTTCTGCGAGGATCCATTATAATCCTCGAGAAAACTGACACAAAATAAATGTGCTTCTCTCTTGATGAGTCGAGCAGTACTGAAGCCAGTAATGTCATTTCTAATGATCGTGTAAGGTTGAAAAGTAATGAAGGAGTAATGAAGGAAGTAATGACATTATTACTGATCGTGTAGGGTCTGCTTTAGACTTCTTATTTGTTGTTTCCACTTAAGTTTTTTAATGAAATATCGAGAGCTCAGCATAAATTTTTCCCATATACATTTAGGTATGTAGGTGCACAAGAAGCAGTGGAACAGATAGTAATGGATGCAGTGAGAGAGCAGTTGAATAGAAGGCAGCCTGCAGAGAATATAACCCGCAACTTCCTGCGGCTTCTGTCTGCATCCTGTGGCTTGGTTGAGGTATGTTGAGTGTAACCAGCAATGTGACTCTTATATTTCTTCGTATAAATGGTATTTGAAGCTAATGAAACAGGATTTTAAATCCATAATATAATTTTTTAAATTGTGATTTCAGTTTCTGCATGGGTGCTTTGAGGCTTTGAAGATACACAGATAATTTAGAAAAGAGCAAGGCTATAAGTAAGATTATAAATCTAATGGAGTGGAAGAGAGCTCCACAGACACATGATCACTGTCTGATGAAGTCTGTAATATGGACTAATTCCTCCATCATAAGTTTCAATATACAGTAAAACTTGGTTATAGCAACATCGGTTTCTGCGACACCTTGTCTATTGCGTCAAATATTCAATGGTACGAACTAATTCCTCATAAAGCAACTGTTTTTATACCTTTCTTAGTACGACATGCACAAATGCATCAACCTCGTATGTAACGTCATTTTCATTCCTGAATTTCTCTGATATCGTGGGAAAGTTCGATGTGTCTGCCCACCCTCACTTTCTCTACTTGCTGACGTGTCTGTCCTGGAAGAATACGACCGCGGGCTGCAAGAGGAGCGTGGGTTTTATGCGAAAACAAGGGTGTGGGGTGGGACTGCGTGAATAGTGCAAGAGGACGCGGCAGGTTGTTAACTGCATTCCTTTCCTAGAATCTCGTCTAACAGGACCTCACATTGTCTACTTACCCTATAGTGTTCCTGCCTAAACCCAGAGAAGTGCAGTAGCGAAAACATGGCAATGAAAAGGAAAGTTTTAAGCATTGAAGAGAAAGTTAAAGTGATTCGTGAAATAGAAAATGGAAGGAAAAAAGCTGATGTATGCCGCGAATTTGGTTTGGTGAATTCTACAGTACAAACGATATGGAGAATCCATATTAATTCCACGTTAATGTTACATTAGTCTGTACTTAACTACGTATTTCACTAAAAAATGCAACATTTTAACTCGGTTTTTGGTAGATTTTTACGTGACTAACATAAGGCTACTGTGGAAGTGCCCATTTCGGTTACAACGACATTCGTTTATAACGACACTATTTTTAGGTCCCTTTGATGACGTTATAACCAAGTCCTACTGTAATTGTCATCCAGTACATTCTGAAAATGTTTCTGCAGATACGAGTATGTCTATTAAATGTAGTTGAGTTTATAAATAGTTTTGCCCCTGAGTTTTGTTACACAGAATCCATAGAGCATATTGTACTGCCCCAAATGTAGACTTCATATTCCTGAGTGATGTTGATCAAATTGCGTCCTATGGTGTTTGAAGTTATGAACTTTGGCTTCACTTTGTTGCAGAGTATATACGTATCTGCATGCCAGGGCCTCACAACTTCAGACAAAATTAAATCGTTTTATTTATGGATTACACTAGTAGAATCATTATTAGAGTTAACCCTATAAATTTTAAAAGTAGTGTTAATAAACAGAATTACTGGGGGTTTCAACTTTTTCCAATGTCCGGTATTTTAGAAAATAGAAAGCATGAAGTTTTGGGAACTGGATCTGTTTCTGTCCTCAGGTGAGGGGGGGGGGAGAGACACTCAGTTGGTCCCCTTAGAAAGAGCTAATCTCAATCCAAAAATCCAGTAATTCTTCTTGGCCATGTACTTATATCCTTGTGTTTCTGGCACCATTCATCGTTTAAATTACAAATAAATGGTTATTACATTTATGGAATAGGAAGTAGACTGTTGTCCCTGGGGAGAGCTGAATGTCTAGTGAATCTGGTATCATAATCTCTGTTCACAGGATATTTTTTACTTCTGGAATGTCCAGAATTATCATCAGTGATCACCTACCTATATGTATCAGTACCAGCACCTTGTTTTTTTGTAATGTCATTTCAGTTATGTTTTTGATTATCAAGACACTGATATTCCCATATATGAAGGCTGATCAACACTGTTACAGGTTCGTGTGACAGCTGCTCCGCGGCTTGAGATGTGGTTGCAGAATCCAAAACTGATGCGCCCTGCACAGGAAGTCCTCATGTCTGTATGTCTAAACTGTAGCACACATACACAAAGAGATGTTGAGGTTATCTCACAGCTTGTGAAGATAAGGCTCAAAACCAAAGCTCTTATCAATCTCTACCTATCCTGCATCAGGTACAGTGAACTTGTACTGAAATAAATACCTTGTAGGGTACAAACATGTTATAATAGATGTAGATCTGTGATGAAGAGTGAAAGATTGGAGGAAAGGCACCATATCCACATTAAGCAACTTTCAAAGCATTTGAGAGAGAAACAGTGTCAATTTGCAGTTAGGGTATCCAATTTACAGGCCGGAATTCATGACTAGAACCTCTCAACCACAAAGTTCTAGTTCTGTGGCTTACAAGAGAAGTAATATCCTACTTCCATCTTCATAATTTCAGGTTCAGTAATTATGTTCCTACACTCACATTAAATCTTACATTTTAGTTTTGGGGTTCTTAGTTGGTCAGGAAGAATTTTGCGGGTAAGGGATAGACATGTGTCTTTGTGAAGTGATCCCCCCTGTCAAATGACATAATCTTCATAGGAAGTTTCATAACCATTGTTCCATTACTTGTGAGTGATGAGGGTGGTATAGGTAGACACACGAACATGACTACACTGTAAGCTAATAAACTACTGGGAAAAATTAAAAACTACTCTAGATATTTTTGGTGGAGAAATCATGTTTCCAAAGATAGTTTTTTTTTATAAATTTTATCTTAATTTTTTATTATCTGTTATTTATCCTGGATATAGTCCAGTGGAGGGCTCTTGTGAACACAGTAATGAACCTTCAGGTTCCATATAATGCTGGGATATTATTGAGTAGCTGCACAACTGGTGGCATCTCAAGAAGGGCTCAGCTACATGAAGTTAGTTATCCTTGTCATACAGTTTACAACTTAAGTTTTTAATGGTCCTCAAAAATTATCTTTATCAGTTCATGAAGTAATTTCTGAATTGCATTACTAGCATAAAAATTCTTTGTTTAGTTTATTTTGACTGCTATTTCATTTTTCTGTGTTCACTTGAGTTTATTGGTTGCTTACATCAGTTTGAGTATAGGTTAAGATAGTCTTCTTTAGTTTATTTTTTGACTGTCATTCTTATGTGTGCCTGATCCATGCCAATGGAGAAGATTAGGAAGTTACAAGGAATGAATAAGAAGATAGTCAAAGATAAATGAGAAGTCAGGACCATTTAAGGTATACACAAACTAATGTAAGCAACCAAGAACAGCAGAAAATATCAAAATAAATAAAGGTAATCAGGCTGGAAGTCTCAAAGGAAATGTAACTTATTTATTTGGTTCAGAAATTATTTTGTGAATTGATAAAGTTATTTTTAGAAAGCCAAATTGATTTGGAACATAAGTTGTAAACAGTGTGCTGAAATCCCTGTTAATAGATAAATAACAATTAAAAATGTTTAAATGTATATTGTATTTCATGGTTTTTATGGATAGAGATCATAAATTTAGACTTGGATTTGTATTAATCAGTTGGCCCTACATGAAGTAGGTTTATGAAGAAACCTACTTCATGTGGTCAGTTACTGATATTCTTATGTTTTAAGTAACAGTTTTTAGTGAAGGTAATGAAAGTGCTCATGAAATGTATGGGTTTGGAGTGACATAGGATTTTTTCTATATTTTTTAACATTTTATTAAAATTCGAATAGATAAATATCAAGTCTAGTAAGCTGAACAGTATCTATACAACTAGGCTGTCTCATTGTAACTGAACTAAGATACTAAAAGAGGCAGAGTATGGAGGAGAAATACTGGATGGCTCTGGATTGATGTGTCACTTACTTTCCTGAAATAAATCTTTATAGGTGCGCACACACTTTTTTTTTCACAGTGGGTAAACTGTACTGAGAAGTATGGAAAATTTGCATTCCAGTTTTTAAATAATATCATTGCTCATATTTTAGTGCATGTAAATTTATTTTAAATACTCTTTAAGAAGATCTTTTACATTTATTACATTCATGTAAATTGTAACATAAGAATTATGAATTCCATCTCAGTAGTCCATATTTAGAAACTATTGGTGCCATTGTCCTTGTATCTTTATTTGCCAGCCTTTCTATAAACTAGAACATGATCATTTATGCCTTATGTCTCCATAGTCTTGATATAAAATATCCATGTACTTTCTGCTGATATCTTCTCTGGGCTTTGGTAACCTAAGGTTTTTGGAGAGTAAAGTAAGGCCATTTTCATACAAGTCACGACCTAACCTGGGTGTAAAATTATGCTTGGAAGGTTTGTCATTTCCCTTTTCCAAGAGAGTCCGAACTTCTTGTGGGACATGTGTGGTTGTTCTAGTCATTTTCTTTTGCTTGTTGCCAGCTTGCGAAACAAGCCATATCCTACCACTGAGGCCATAACTCCCTTATCATCTGAGATGCCAGGTATGTTGTGTGACATTGATCTGCTCATGGTTTTGTTGGTTATTGTTGGATCATTCTCAGTGGATGCATCTTGATCTAGTTGAGGTGTGAAATCATACTCTGTTTGCCTGTCACCCATAGTTTCCAAAAGTGTCCATAATTGTTTCTGTTTCTGAAACCATTCAGGATCATAGGATTTCATTCTATGCCCCAGCCTCGGTTCAAACCACATACTACCACTTACAGGTTCTTGTTTCACATGCTTATTGTTAATCTTATCCTTTTTATCTCTGCGTCCAAGTCGAGGTCCAAACCACATACCACCACTTAGAGTGTCTTGTTGCACTTGTTCAGCATTATAATTAGACTTTTTTTGTCTATGTCCTAGCCAAGGTCCAAACCACATTCCAGCACCTGCAGATTCTTGTTGCACATGTTCTGAATCGCTTGATTTCGTTGTCCTCTTTCCTAGCCGAGGTCCGAACCACATGCCAAGACTTGCAGATTCTTGTTTCACTTGTTCAGGATTACCATTAGAATTTTTTTCCCTCTGTCCCAGCCTAGGTCCAACCCACAAACTAGCACTTGCAGGTTCTAGCTGCAGAATTTCTGAATCACTTGATTTTTTTCCTCTCTTTCCCAATCGAGGACCAAACCACATACCAAGACTTTCAGGTTCTTGCTGTGTAAGTTCTAAATCTCCTGATTTTTCCCCCCTCTTTCCCAGCCGAGGACCAAACCACATACCGGCACTTGCAGGTTTACGCAGTTTAGAATCATTTGACTTTTTTTCCCTCTTTCCCAGCCAAAGACCAAACCGCATACCACCACTTGCAGGTTCTTGACCCAAAAGTTCTGAATAACTTGCTTGCTTCCCGTTATATCCCAACTGAGGTCCAGGCCACACATCATCATTTGTAAGTTCCTGTTTCACATGTACCAAGTCACTGGATAACTTCCTTTGCCCTAACTGAAATTCAGACAATACACTGCTAGTCTCAGGTCGTAGCCATCCAATTTCTGCGTCACTTATTTTTTTCTCTCTCTGTCCCATCAGCATGCTGCTTCTCACTTCCTGTTCAATGACTCCTGCAGGAATACCCCAGTTTCCGAATACAGAATTATCCATGGTCATACCACCTAATTCTTTAGCTTCATGTTCAAAATAAGTTTGAGTTTCCTTTGTGTCAGTTGGTTTTTCATTCTCCTGATGCATTTTAAATTCTATTGGCAGGTGAAAAGTTTTGGTAGTTAAAGATTTCTTCTCCTTGCAAGCCAGACGCTCTTCAACCATTGAACTGAAATCATTTCCAGCAGTCTTTGTTTTCCCCATTTCCTTATTTGCTGAATTGAAGTTATCACTAGAATAAATACGATGAGTTGCTGAAAGTACTAGGAACCAAATTAAAATACTTTGGCTCCATAATAAGCACGTCTTCATGTTAAATCAGCACCTCTGTATGTTGTGTAAAGAAACAGACTTGCTCTAAATACAAGGGATTGCTCTTGATTTTGTTCTGAGTTCACTCAGTGCCTCTGCTGTCTTTTATACTGCTGAACTTAATCTCATTGAGAGTTGTCTTTCATCATTGTCGGTTGAGATTAGGTGGATGGAAATTAGTTATTTCTACACACCATTTGAAAATATAGACACCTTCCCCAAGGCAGCTCATCTCTTGGTTATGAATTAGCACAACATATTCCCTCAAAAATTAATAATTAAAGAATTTATAAACATATTTTATTATCAATTATTACATGATATAATATGTTTATTACATTTTCTGATTTATTTGCAGAAGAAGAAAGTCAGAAATTAAGTTTAAAATAAATAATTGAACATTAAACTTATAACTGAGTGGGATTCTGATTTAATATAATAATTGTTGTTCAGAATATTGGATCTATTTTCTAAAAATTTTGTCCTTTCAATACACCTTGATAAAATGTTTCTGTAGAAGGTAGTACAACAGTAACTGTAGGCGTGGAAATAATCATGATTGAATTACTCCCTGGTGGGTGACAGATGGTGCTGCTACTATAGACAGAACTTTCCCAGAGTAATGAGGATTAGCAGAGAAGGAAGACAGATAGTTCTCTAAAAGTGGCTTGTATAGAGTAGGCAATATGTGAATGGCTCAAGTTCCATGCAGTGATCTTATCCCTTTTATATCAGTACATGAGAGACATTTTGTGTCATGTCCCCAGATCAGGCTTCATCTACTCTTTGTGAGCGAATAACAAACATATCTAGTGGAAACAGTTGAAGGCTCCAGAGCAGCTCCATGAGTCTGAATATGAATCTGAGCCCACTGGCTCAAAATGTAGCAGTTCTGACTTGTATTTATGAGGTCCCGGGTTCAAATTTTGGCACATACACTGGCTGTCCTGCTTGAGATTTTCATGGTTTTCCTCAGTCCATAGAAGCAAATGGCAGTATGGTGTTGTAAGCTGGGCCACAGCTTCTTTGTTCCACACCCTTTACAATTCATTATTTACAATCTTCCTATCATTGATGCTATGTAGTCCAAGTTACTGACAATAAATATGTCATTGGGTTTTTCAGTTGACCTAATCCTTCCAGCTGCACTATGGACCGGGGGTCTACTAAGCTTGTTAACAGAAATGAGGGCTGAGAATCTTCCTGGGGGTAAAGGGCAGGCAGTGCATAAGTCTGACAACCTCACCGCCCTCCATGAGCCAAGTGTTTGAAAAATGCGTGAGCCTCAATGTCTCACAACTTTGAGGGACTCCAGGACCTGTTACAGTGATAGGGGTTTTTTTTTTTTAATAAATTTACCTATTCCAGATAGTGTTTCTGGTTTGGTCATTTTAATGTGGTTGGCCATCCATACAGTGTACCTCTTAAAAGCTGACCATAGGAAGTCATATTTTTAGTGGTGAATGTTCACTGTGGCATCTCTTCAACTTTAACTCCACATGAAAGTATTAATTTTTGTATTCTTGTGCATAAAAGGCTAAGGATTTCTTGGTTGTCACTGTTCTGTTGATATGTTTATGTATATTTAATAAATAGTTATGGATAGAAATATTCTGATTTATTAGTTTGTTAGTTTCTATATGTTACACCAAGCTTATAGTATTCTTAAAGAAATATATTTTTCCATCCATATTATATTTGATTATGTCTGTATACTTCATTTGATAATAGAATTGTGTTTAATTGTCATTCCTCATGTACACTGGTGGAAGAATATTCTTTTCATCCAGTCCAAACAGTTTTATAAAAATATTGTTATATTTTAGCGTCCTGTTGCACTGATTCACGTCCATGATGTGTATTTGTACCAACCGTCTTACAGTGCACACATTTTCACCTATCTCTTCACTACATGTTTCGGCACTAATGTGCCATCTTCAGGTGTGGTTTTATTTACGTCAAACCATTGCACTGTATGCCATCATGTCTCCTTTATAAAATGATTAAAATGTAAATTAAAAGGTCCATATAAAAAGTATCGGGAAAAATCTTTCCCTTACGTGACTGTACACCGCAGCATGCTCGCACCGCGCAGGCGTGGTAGTGGGGGTCTAACCTTTAACACGTGCCAAGCGCCATTCGCCTGAGCGCGTTCGTAGAGGCCAGGCTGTGTTTTCAGTGGACCCCTGTCGAGTGAGTCGGTGCAAGCGCAGAATGCAGCGAACGATTGAACAGAGGTACGCCATCAAGTTTTGTGTTGT